CACATTACAAGGTCCCAGATAGAGCAGGAGAAAATGTGGGAAAAAACTCAAAATTATATATATATATATTTTAAAAGCAGGCTTACTGGTCAGAAAGAGACTGAAGGAACTGATACTATGGTCCTCGACCAACCGTCAGGTCTGGAACAAAACTCACCCTACCCTTGTGATTCTGTTTTCAGCCAAGCAATCGATGAGTATATGGAAAGGACAACAAAACTAGTAAGTTATGCTCATCATGGAATGGCCAATCATTCAAGATCAAAAGGGCAGCATTTACCTAAGGGCAGAGTTGAGAAGGAATGGAAAGGTGGGTTCAATGGAAATAAGAACCACAGGGAGGAAATGGCTAACTTGTTACATGAGGGGACTGCAATCATTGAGATGAAAGAAAGTGTATAATTTGTTGAAAGTAAAATGTTTCTGTAAACCTTCACTCATTCGCAATAAAAAGTTTCCCCTAAAAAAAAAAAACCATAAAACAAAGCAAAAGGAAAAAAATACTCACAGAACCCTCAGACGGCTTCCTGTATAATTAAGACTAGAATCCAAATAGCTCACTAAAGACTTCAGAGCTCTGCATGGCTTGGCCCCTGACCATCTCTTCATTCTCAGCTTCATGGATCACAGGCTCCAGCCACACTCCTTGAGCTCACTCACTTCATTCCCACTTCAAGACCTTTGTACCTGTAGCTCCTTCTGCTGTTCCCTACCCTGCATGGCTACCCAGACCTCAGATCAAAAGTCAATGCCTTAACTAGAGTGGAGAGTGAAGCTACCAGCTGATAGGAAGAGAGGGCATACACACAAGAACACCCACACTTGCAGATGGTACCCACGTGACCTGGCCCCGAGATGAATGGATGATCAGAACTCAACCAGGAGACGAAAGAAGAGGGAAAAAAAAGAGTGATCTGATATAATTTGATGAACTTGACCTACACCTATGGATGCAGTAACCCAAAAGAGGCAACAAATCATTACAGCAAGAAATATTCCCACCCCTCCACACACAGAGTAGACAGAGATGGGCAACTTGGACATTGGATATCCAAATGGGGTGGGGGTGGGGGACTACAAAGGCAAGAAGTGACTGGCTTACAAGCTTTCAAGAGGGAACCTAGAGCTAGGGGGCATGGAGGAAGGCAGACTCTCCAGTGAGTACTATCCAATCTGTCTAGGCGGAGCTGATGAAATGAAATGCAGAAGGGTCACTTGTGATACAATTGTGAATGATTGTTATCAGGACTGATTGTGAGGGTTGGAAATGTAAAGGTAGACGTTTTGTAGCAAGGAAGGGAGTGATTAACTCCCCAGTCTAGGAGCTGAGGTCTCTAGGACCATCAATGGAGAAGAACCGAGAGTGGGACCCTACCCAGAGAAGCAGCGAGGCCCAAGATAGAGGCAGAGACGATGACGTGGAGTGATGAAGCGGCTGGGGACTTTGGATCCAGAGAGTGAGAGGGACTGTGTGCTGAAGAATTGGGAGGGGGGAGTGTAGGGCAGGTTTATAGGGTATAACCTTTGGTCAGTTGATGATGCATGGAGGGGATTGGAACCATGGCAATGACACGATATATGGTGGAATGAATGTAAAACTAAAGTTCTCTCATGTAAAATATCATATAATTCACAATAAAACATGAAAAAAAAAAAGTCAATGCCTCAGAGAGGCCTTCACTGGCCCTCCTCTATCATTTTCTACTATAGTCCTATAGTCCTTTATTTTCTTCACTCTTCTGCCACGATCTGATTATTTATTTGATTACTTTGTGGGGGGGGGGAGATTATTTGGGGGAGGATGTAAACATTGAGGAATAAAACAAGCAAAGGGCATATTCTGAAAGCCTGCTTCCTGGATGCCAGCAAATAGTCTTTTTCTTTCCATGAGTCTAGAGTCCTTGGCCACTCCCCATCGCCATGTCCCCATCTCTACCTCCATCTCTGATGTCACTGCTTCTCTGGATAAGGTTCCATATTCCACCCGTGCTCCTCTCCCTTGATGGTCCTAGGGTCCTCTGTTTCTGGACTGTAAGATTAACTACTTCCCCATTTTTGTTAAAAAACTTTTACCTTTACAATTGTGACAGTCACAATTAGTCATAATAACAATTACTCACTACTGAATCATAAAAATCTTATCCCCAAATCCTTTCACCAGACCCGTCTAGACAAGATGAAAACCATTCAGTGAGGGTTCTACCTTCTGCCGCACAATCTAAAACTAAACTCCCTCTTTAAACCTTGTAAACCAGTCACTTTGTGTTTTTATAACCCCCCCCATTTTAGGTAGCCAATGTCTAAATTGCCTGTCCCTATCATCCCTGTATATCGAGTGGGTAGAATGAAGACTTCTTCCCTTTCAGTTGGTATTCTGAGCTACTATATCCGTAAATCCAGGTGTGGCACTGTGGATTAATGCGTCAGACTGCAAAATCATTTGAACTACAAGTTCAGTGGTTCAAGCTCACCAACTGATCCTTGGAAACCCTATACAGGGATGCTATGGGTTGGAATTGACTCAGCTGCACGTAATAACAACAACATCCATAAGTATATTTCAAGTTCATCAAAATGTAGCAATTTATACTTGTTTCCTTTATCAAAAAAAATTATCTTCTTTTAGTGGAGCTGTGATCTCTAAGTTTCGGCGTTCTTGTGCATCTCCCCTCACTCCATATCAGCTGGACACTCCACTCTCCTCACCTCTAGCCCTCCATGGCTATGTCCTCCTTGTCCAGTGGCCCAGAAGCCCCTATCTGACTACTTTTAAATTCTCTATCTCTCCCCTGAAAGCTCCATGAGAGCAGTGTCTTGATTTTCTGGTTTACCACCATAACCACAGATCCCAGAGTAAGGAATACTCATTAGGAGCTATCTTCTTACATATATATACTCGTATGCGCTAGGACCATCCTTTCAAACCAGAAACAAAGGCCTAAAAATTCATGCGGCACTTTTTTCCTTAAAAAATGAATTTGTATAGATGAAAATGCATAACATTAAATAGTATCAACATTTAATGAGGGGTCTCACTGAACAGAAAAAGAATTACATAAATTTGAGGCTTTCCCGGAGAATCTGTGATATATAGTCACCACAGATACGACATTCAACGTGTCTATTGTTTGAGAAACGTTTCTGATGACTCATATGCCTTCAGCACTAAAAGGTTTGGTTGTCAGAGACCCTTGTAACTGATAATAAAAAGAGTGTTCATGAGGGAAAGATGGGGCTCCCTCCTGAGTGAGTTTCTGGGAGCACAGGTGGGTTCCTGTGTCCGCACAGGAGCAGTAGCACCTCAAGCTCAGAATCTAGGACAGGGAGTGGATCTTCAGTGTGGCCTTGGGTTGCATTTGTTATGTATCCTTTAGGAGGGCATGCAGCTCACTGCAAAGCCAGTCACCTGGAGGTGTACCTTGGGGTACAGCGTAGAACTGCTCCATAGTGTTTTCTTGGCTATAACCTTTATGTAAAAGAGCCGTGGTGGTGCTATAGGATAAACACTGTACTGTAGTTGAAACCCACCAGCTTTCCCACAGGAGAAAGATAAAGCTGTCTGCTCCCATAAGGATTTACACTCTTGGAAACCTGGTGTGGCGCTGTGGGTTAAGGCACTGGACTGCAAGGTCGATTCGAACCTCAAGGTTGTCGGTTCAGGCTCACCAGCCGCACCTCGGAAACCCTATACAGGGACCCTATGGGTAGGAAAGGACTCGACAGTACTTACCAACAACAACATGAGTTGGAGTCAACTTGATGGCAGTGTTTTTTTAGATAGAAAACGTTATGGAAGAAGTTCACCAGGTCTTTCTTTAGCAGAGTGGCTCAAATAACCAGCTTTTAGATTTATGTTGTTATTGTTATGTGCCATGGAGTCGGTTCCGACTCATAGTGACCCTGTACAGGGTTTCCGAGGCTGTAAATCTTTACGGGAGCAGAAAGCCTCATCTTTCTCCCGCAGAACAGCTGGTAGTTTTGAACTGCTGACCCTGAGGTTCGCAGTCTGATTTGTAACCACTACGCTACCAGAGCTGACCTCGAACTATTTGTGCCATCCATCCAGGCTGGGCTCCTTACCCAGGGCTCTTATTAAAATGCTTACTAAGATGCTGATTCTGAAATGGGGCCCGGAATTCTGCATTTCTAACAAGTAATGCCCATGTTGCTGGCTTGAGGGTCCCAGCTGAGAAACAGATCTCCAGCACTGCAAAATTCTCATCTGAGAGACAGGCTTCTCAGTGGTGGACTCCTTCTGAAGTGCTAACGACAGAGGACTTGGGCTTCAAAAGATACAAATACGGAGAATTGAATTAAAAGAAGCACAGAGAAACTTCTTTGGAATGAGATGATTCAGCTGTCTTCATTTGTAATAAACCAAATTTGTTAGGACTTAAAATAGAATCACTTTTCAGTCCTGACTCATGTGCAGTTCTGACATGAGAACTGTGGAACACATGTTCCTTTACAAGCTTGGTATTTATGCCTCTTAGGGAAAGGGAAAATAGAAAGCACTGTCAGGTAATGTGGGTCCATTTTCCAATTTCCTTTCTGTCATGTTACAGTTACAAAATTTGCTTTTTGCTGGGTTGGTTTTTTGGGGGTTTTTTTGCCTTCTGATTTTCCCTCCTTACCACCAAGCCAAATTCTAAGGAGACTGGCAAGACTGGGAGATACACTCACATGTGGTCTTCTCTCCTGCTGCTCCTTCACTTCCTCTGCTGTCCAGAGCTTCCCCCACTTGAGCCTCCAGTATCAACTGTGTGCTCTTACAGCTTCTACACAAGTCTGCACCAGTGGCATTATTCATTATGGTTCTTTATGTGCACATCCCCTTGGGGACCTGGGTGGGAGTTGGAGGTGGCTGGAAGGTAGGATTTGGGAATTTTTGTGTCCTTTAGCAACCTTCCAACAGTAAACAGAGGACATGATTTGTCACTGTTCACAACTTCCTTACCAGTACTCAAAAATGTAAAAAAAACAAAACAAGACACCCAAACCTGGCCTCTTTCCTCCAGCATTTTGAGTTCCTTAAGAAGTTGTTCCACACGCATCACACTGTCTCCAATATCTGTCAACTCTGTTTGTTCTTCCAACAAATGATCCAGGGCATGTTTAACCTATAAAACACATTAGAGCAGTACAGGATTAAGCTGATGAGTACACAGAAAGGATTCAGGACTTGTGTGCATTTTTAAAACAGCTCATTAACTTTCAAAGTAAGCTGAGATATGCAAAGACACATGTAGCTGGCCTATTCTACATTCAACAGGTTATCAATCAGAAAGGAAAAATTGCTATGGATGGCAACAGGAAAATGGGATTCCACAACATTGTTACCCAACTGAAAAGTAAGAAGGGGGTCTGTGAAGAAGTAAAGATATAAAGAGGGAACTGGATTAGAAGGAAGAAGCCTGGTGGCACAGTGGGTTAAGTTCGGGACTGCTAACCACCAGATTGGTAGTTCAAACCCATCAGGCATCCTAAGGAGAAAGATAAGGTTGTCTGCACCCACAAAGATATACAGACTTGGAAACCTCAGGGAGCGGTTCTACTCTGTCTTACAGTCGGTGCTATGAGTTGGAATCCACTTAATGGCAGTAGGTTTTTTAAATTAGAGGAGAAAGGGAGGGCCAGTAATGAAGAGTTCAAAGGAGAAAGAACACCCAGAAATCACCGCATCAGAAAAGTAAGTTCTATTGAAGAAGAAAATCGTACCTCACAAAAATTGTGCTCAAAGTGCTGTAGCTGTAGACATTGGTTAAGCTTCAGTTGATGTTCAGACCAAAAGCGACTGAAGGCTTTTTCTGTTTCATCCAACTGAACTAATAACCTGACAGCAAAAGATGAGAAAGTGACATTGTGATAGCGTTCATTTCCACAGAAGTCCATGTAGACCTATATGGAAAACACCTGTGTTTTCAGTCAACATTGTTCATTGTGGCAGATTTCTTTCTTACGAAAGTCCAACTTCCTTAGGGTTCAACTGTTTTCCCATTTCCCATTTCCCATTTTTAAATCACGATAGCTTCAACACGAGGCAGAAACTTAACTTCAAATGCTGTTGCTGTGGGCTTTAAAATGTGTTTAGGTCTACAGATCACCCCCTGGATAAACAGGCTTCATCTCTTCCACTCACCTTCCCATAGTAGCTACATTCTCAAGTTCATTGGGATTGCAGCTCCTGGTGGGATTTTTGGTTCCTGGTTTTTGTATGCATGACATCAATGTAGACCCTTGCTTTCTAAGTATCTTCAGCTGATCCTAGAGAAATGAAAACATAATCTCTCTTAGGAGGAATTAAAACAAAATTCCTGGTAGAATTTGGGACAAGGAGAATGAGAGATGAGTATATTTTTAAACTTAAAAAATTCAATGTAGTTTTTAAAAAATTCAATTTATTGGAAGTAAATCATTTCTTCATAGGGAATACATACAATTGGCACAAAACTCAAATTATACAAAATGGTATGTAGGATCAAAAGACAAGTCTTGTTTATTTCTGTACCCTACACCATCCACTTAATTTAATCCTTAAAAGCAATGTCTATTAAGTTTTTTATGTATCTCAAGTTATCGCTAGAAATTAAAAGCAAAACTAGCTAATAAAATAGGATTCTAGTCCAAGATAGTAACTAGAAACAAGAAAATGACAGATGTTGACTGTTAATTGCAAGAAACTACAAGATCTGTGGTTTGAGCCCACCAGCAGCTCCTTAGGTAAAGATAAAGCTTTCTACTTCTGCAAAGATTTATAACCTTGGCAATCTATTCTGGCTATGCGTTGGAACTGACTCGACAGCACTTAACAACACCATGTAGTTATAATGTAACTACAATTTCTAGTTGACCACGAAAATACACATCTATACTCATCAGTAAAGGCCTACCTCTCCTTCCCACTGGCTCCATTCTCTGCAATAGTGGGCTGGTTCTGTTATGGAAGGTTGGCAGAGACTTGCAGCAGTTACAGTTGACATGAAAAGGTTCATATTTCTGAGGAAACGATTTTGCACTTGTTATTTGGGGATTTCAGACTTTGCAACTGGGGAAGAGTAGGACTAGAACCTTACAAATTCAACAGCTCGAGTCTTCTACTTGCACATTGCAGGTTGGGTCTCATGGTCTGAGCTTCAAGCACAAGGCCAACGGCACAAATCAGAATGGATAAAGTCTGGTCTAGAATTTTGCTCTCCAAAGTTGGAATTCTCATTTTGGTTCCTTAGTCACATACTGCTGGTTTGACATGATCTTGAGAGCTGGAATATGCCCATAGTTCTAAAACCCAAACAAAACCATTGCTTCAGTCTGTGAACAGTGACTCTCTTCCTTCACTTCCAGCTGTCTCATCAGCCTTCACACAATATACAAATTTGTAGAACTCATTCCATATAGGAGTTTTATTCTCCCCCAGTGTTCACACAGAAGCCCTTGGCCCACTTAGCCTCATGGCTTTGCTCCTCATCTTCCATTTCACTCTAGTATTTACTCTACTGAAGGCTTCCATTCAAACCTGGCCCTGGATCTCGTTGATGACAGACTTGATTTCTCAGACCTGTTGCTGTTGTTGTTAGGTGCCATCAAGTAGGTTCCGAGACTCAACTCAATCTATACTAATATTCTTCACACAGAAATCTTGACCTGGTTATTAATGTGGGACTAGACCACATGGCCAACTTCAGGAGAATTTTAAAAATCTGCCATAAAGAGGGAAAGATTGAGGAAGTTCTTGGAAGGAGTACATGTAAGTTTCCCAGGCCCCAAATGGAATATGCCTTGTCTACAGTGGTAAGCAAGGCGCTCTGGTAGCGTAGTGGTTACAAATCGGGCTGCAAATAGCAAGGTCAGCAGTTTGAAACTACCAGCTGTTCCGTGGGAGAAAGATGAGGTGTTCTGCTCCCATAAAGATTTATAGCCTTGGAAACCCTGTGCAGGGTCACTATGAGCTGGAACCGACTCCACAGCACACAGCCACTGCCACAACCGCCACAGCTACCACAGCGGTGAGCAGGGAGTCCTGGCGCTATTGAACTGCTAACCACAAGGTTGGTGGTTCAAACCCAGCAGTCATTCCTCAGAAACCCTGCTTAGGGTTGCTAACTGACGCAATGACACTTAACAACAAAAGGTACAATGGCTGAAATAAACAAGAAATTGAGAGTGGAAGGCCAAGGCCCGGTGTTTCTGGCATAAGTTAAGACCGGCAAAGAGGAGAGAATGTCCCTCTTTTGGGACACAGAAGGGAAACTAACTGCTTTTGTTATCTGCCTATATATATATATATATACAACCGGCACAAAATAATACAATAAGAGCTGTTTTTCTGCGAGAATCACAGGGACATCAAAAACAGGGTAAGAAAACGGCATGTTTGTACAGGGTTTGTAAGGAGCTCTGTTGTTAGTGGACTGCCAACCAAACGGTTGGTGGCTGGAACCAACCAGCCACTCCAAGGGAAAAAAGATGTTTCAGTCTGCTTCTGTAAAGACGTATAGTCATGGAAACACTACGAGGGGCATCAATTCTGTCTTACAGAGTTTATGTGAGCTGGAATTAACTTGACGGCAAGGGGATTTTTAGGGACAGGGTTGTAGTTGTTATTTTGTTGTTGTCTTGTCCTGAAGCTTGAGGATTTTTTCTCTTTTTAATTGAGATACAATTCATATATCATAAAAGTCATGCTTTTAGCATATACAAGCCTATATTTTTTCCAGAACATTTTCATCACCCTGGATCCCTTAGCTGTCATTTCCTATTCACCCTTCCCCGTAGCTCTTAGAAACCACTAATGTACTTTATTTCTTTAGGGATTCACCTCTTCTGAACATTTCATAGAGATGGAATCATACAAGATGTGGTCTTTTGATTTTGGCTTTTTTCACTTAGCATGATGTTCCCCAGGTTCATCCCCTCTCAGTGCTTTATTTCTTGCTATAGCTGAATAATGCTTCACTATATCGTCAGCTGGAGTCCTGGTGTGGCACTGTGGGCTAATGCAATGCACTGCACTGCAAAGTTGGTTTGAACCTCAAGGTCAGTGGTTCAAGCTCACCAGTTGCTCTTTGGAAACCCTATACAGGTCAGAACCGACTCGATGGCACTTAACAACAACATATCGTCAGCTGATGGACATTTGAGTTGTTTCCACATTTTGGTTATTTTGAATACTCTGCTATGAACATTTGTGCTTACAGTCTTTATATGTTATTGTTAAGTGCCATTGAGTTGGTTCCGACCCATAGTGACCCTGTATAGGGTTTCCAAAGAGTGGCTGGTGAGCTTGAACCGCTGACCTTGTGGTTCAAGCCGACTTTGCAGTCCAGTGCATTAACCCATAGCATCACCACAAGGACCAGAAGTTTTTAGATAGCAATATGCTTTCAATTCTTTGGTGACATAAACCTATGAGTGGAATTGCTTAACTTTCTGAGATGCTGTCAAACAGTTTACATTTCCACTAGTCACGTATAAGACTTTTAATCTACTTACGCCTTCACCAACACTTGTTATTGCCTGTCTTTTTGATTATAGTTATTCTGACTATAGGAGCTCTAGTGGTACAGTAGTTAAACCCTCAGCTGCTAATCAAAAGGTCAGCAGTTCAAAACCAGAAGCTGTTCTGTGGGAGAAAGATGTGGCAGTCTGCTCCAGTAAGATTTCGTAACCTCAGAAACCCTATGGGGCAGTTCTACTCTCCTCTCACAGGGTTGATAGGAGACGGAATCAACTCAGTGACAATGGGTTTGGTGGTTGGGAGTCAGAAATGTTGTTGAACATTCAAAATGTTTAATGGTTATTTGTTTATCTTTGGAAAAATGTCTAGTCAAATTATTTTTTAATTGGGTCACTTGTCTTTATAAGGTTGAGTTGCAAAAGCTGCACAAGGCTAAGTCAAAAAGTATTGCTAGGTGACCACGTTCATCACCGATAAGGGGAAATGAGCGAAAAACAGCAATGAAGCTGCGGCCTAAGCCCTACAACGTTCAATAGACTCCTGTGAACCCGGGTGGAGACCTGGTTGGCCAGCAGTGTGGCAAGACCTGGGGACTCTTGGGCCCAGAGTCAGTGACATACCCACAGAGGACTAGAGTGGAGAGTGAAGCATCCAGCTGATAAGAAGAGAGGGCACATGCACAAGAACACCCACACTTGCAGATAATACCCACTTGACCTGGCTTCAATGAAGAGGTAAAAAAAGAGTAATCTGATACAATCTGATGAACTTGACCTACACCTATAGATGCAGTAGCTCAAAAGAGGGAACAAATCTTTACAACAAGGATCATTCCCACCCCCTCCATACACAGAGTAGACAGGGATGGGCAACTTGGACACTGGCTACCCAAAATGGGGTGCCTTCAAAGGCAAGAAGTGACTGGCTTACAAGCTTTCAGGAGGGAATCTAGATCCAGAGGACATGGAGGAAGGTAGACTCTCCACTGAGTAGTATCCAATATGTCTAGGCGGGATTGATGAAAGGAAATGCAGATAGGTCTTTTGTGACACAATAGTGAATAATTGTTATCAGGACTGATTGTGAGGGTTGGAAATGTAAAGGTAGACGTTTTGTAGCAAGGAGGGGAGTGATTAACTTTGCAGTCTAGGAGCAGAGATCCCTGGGACCATCAAGGGAGAAGAGCGGAGACAGGACCCTACCCAGAGAAGCAGTAATGCCTGAAATGGAGGCAGAGATGATGACATGGAGAGATGGAGCGGCTGGGGACTTCAGACCCAGAGAAAGAGAGGGGCTGTGTGCTGATGACCAGGGGAGCAGGCTTGCAGGGTACACCCTTTGGTTGGTTGATGATGCATGGAGGGGATTGTAACCATGGCAATGAAACAATATACAATAGGATGAATGTAAAACTAATGTTCTCCCATGTAAACTATCACATAATTCACAATAAAACATTTTTACAAAGCACTGCTATAAAATCATAGAACCCTTTGATAAATGAAAATATTAAAATGTGAAGCAATTGTTTCTCAACAGACCCTCCGCTTTGGTCTGTATCCTTTTGAAGATGCTGTTTCCATCTCTCTAACCCTTCCCTGAAGAATTCTGTGCTTTTTGATTTATACCACATCAAAACAGTAGTTTTGGAATCCTTGAGGGACTCAAGTCATGTTCTTTGAATTTGGTAGACAGAAAGAAGTCTGAAGGGGAAAGATCAAAGCTGTGGAGTGGATGGGGTAAGGTTTCCCAATGAAATTATCTTAGAACAGCCCTTGCTACTCTTGGAAGAATGAGCAGGTGCATTGTTGTGATGAGAAAAATTCCTTGGCACAATTTTCCTGGTCTTTTTCTCTCAGGTGCAATTTTCAGTGTTCTTAGAACTTCATAATAGGACCTATGACCATCTTGTGTCCTTTGAGAAAAATCTATCAGTCACTGTAAACTTCTGAGCTGACCTCTGTGCCCTGAAGTTAACTGGTCCAGCAGATCCCCTTGGAAGCCACTGTTCTGATTGGACACTCTTTTTTTTTTTAAGCGTTTTAATGAGACTAAGACATGTACATTACTAAGAGAACTTACCTGCAGCCATCCACTGATTGCAGATAGAGACATTTAATACATTTGGTCTGGAATAAATCCATACATGTCTGAACTGGAACCCTAGAAGTGATACTTTTTGACTTATCCTGGTATTCTAGACATTGTGCCTTTATCAGATATATAGTTTGCAAATATGTTCTCCTCTTCTGTGGCTTGTTCTTCCACTTTCTTTGTGGTATCCTTTGAATCATGAGCCATTTTCATTTTAATGATGTTCACTTTATGTTTTTTTTCTTTGCTTGTGTCCATGGTGTTGCAATCCAAAGTTATAAAGATTTACGCCTCTGTTTTAAGAGTTTTATATTTTAACTCTTATATTAGATCTTTGATAGATTTTGAACTAATTTTTGTGTATGTCTTGAGGTAGGGGATCAACTGCATTATTTTCCATGTCGATATTCAGTTGCCCCACATGGTCCAAGGATCTTAAGCAGTTTCAGTTTCCATGGTAATAAAATATCCTTAGTCAAATTTATGTTATTAATTTTTTACTACCAGCTTTCTGGCTGAAGGAAGAGCTCAGGGAGTGGTCCCTGAGGAATGTTTGTATACATTGACACTACCGTTTATTGAGTGCCCGCTCTTTGTGTTGACAGAGCTCCCATCGTAGCAGGGTGAGTGTTTCATACTTCTTGTAGTATGAGAGGTCGTCCATAGTCTGTTGAGGTCTTTTCTTGGGAAAAGATACAGTTCCCAAAAGTGCTCAGGGCACCTGTATGAGCACTCTGAATATATTCTCTAGCTCATTACTCACAAAAGGACACACAAGGAGCAGATCGATGTGCATGTCATGTCTTCTGGTCTTGACCTTGGTGACTTCTACAGGGAAGGCTAAAGCTGGTGTGTATATTGGACTCTGGTAGTATAGAGAAGTCATTAAGAATTAAAGTTTCTAAATCTTACCTTGAAGCCCAGGGGTCAACAGTCTGAGTGGACAAAAAAAAGAACACAAATTGAAATTGGGAGCACTCTTTGTCTATTGTTGTTGTTGTTAGCTAGCCATCCAGTCAGCTCCTGACTTATGGCGTCCCCATGTGTTACAGTGTTCCATAGGGTTTTCTTGACTGTAATCTTTAAGGATAGACTGTAAGGTCAGTTTGAACCACAAGGGAGACAGTTCAAACTCATCAGTTGCTCCTTGGAAACCTTATACAGGGTTGTGATGATAGGAACCGACTCAACAGCACTTAATAACAACAACCTTTTAGGAATTGGATTATTAGACTTCTCTTCTGTAGAGCTGCTAGTGGGTTCGAAGCATCAACCTTTAGGTTTGCAGCCGATTGCAAACCACTGTGCCCCCTGGGCCCTTTTCTTTGATGATAAAACATGGATTATGATCTGACATAGGACTCAGTCTCAGCAGGATAAGGAATTTATGTCCCTAGAAGGAGCCTTCTTTAAAGTAAGCAATTTTCTCAAACGTTTGTTGGGATTCTTTCGATGTTCAGGCTTTGAGACTGCAGTGACCCAAAAAATAGAGATTGTTTTGGAAAATAATTTTGGTGGTAACAACTCTTTAGGGAATTAACAAAGGAGGTTGTAAAAGCTCTCAAACTCATTGACTCTCTTATTTCAATTGGTTGTAGAGATGTTGTTGTTGTTGTTGTTATGTACTGTGGAGTCGGTTCCAACTCATAGCTACCCTATACAGGGTTTCCAAGGCTGTAAATCTTTATGGGAGCAGAAAGCCTCATATTTCTCCCGCGGAACAGCTGGTAGTTTCGAACTGCTGACCTTGAGGTTTGCAGCTCGATTTCTGACCACTGTGCTACCAGAGCTCCTTTTGTAGAGATGAGTGGGTGCTTATATGAATCTAATACAAGGAATCTCAAAGATCCCAGCAGTAAAGAAATTAACAAATCAGGTCAAATCTCCTAATTCTGAACTGTTTTGAAAAAACTCTCCAGAGTGGGAAAAAAATGATAAATCTTACACTGTAACTTGTATAAATAATTAAATAGATTTAAACATTCACTCTTCTGAAGAATGAATCACATACTGACTTTACACTTGGAAAGGTGTTTTCCAACTGGGGAAAATTATTCAATTAGTTATAAAACCTTTGAATAAAAATTAGATGATTTTTGTTAGGTGCCAATGAGTCTGTTCCCCCATTCATAGTGACCCAACATAATATGATCAGACCATTGTGATTCATAGGGTTCTCATTGGCTGACTTTTGGCCTCTGTAGTTTGTTGTATTCTGGAAGCTCCACTACCCATGTTCAGCATCACAGCAACACACAACCCTCCACTGATGGATGGGTGATGGCTATGCATTGGTTAGGAATTGAATCTGTGCCCTCAAAAGTTAAGTAAAACACTCTTGTAAGAATAAATTATAACTACAAATTTAAAAAATCTCTAGGTTATCAATGAAAGTTTAAACGGCATTCTTTTTTTTCCTTATATAAACCCTTTCTTTATTTAAAACACTTTGTAACTCCAATTTAATGAATCTGGTATTTTTGCTTCTAAGTTACAAGATAGTAAAAAAAATCAACTTTATTTCAGGCCAATGATCAGTAATCATAAAAACGCTTTATGAATTGGGGACTCAATAAATGCTGAGTAAGTGAGCCAATCAACCATTTAGCACAGCAGTTTTGCAAATATTGTGTCAAAAATAAAAGAGCCCACTTCTTCTCAAGCTCCATGCGGTGAGGATATATAGGTAATGCTGTGATGCATCAATGTTCCAGTTCTGTTTGCTGTCCTACTGAGGACTGGCCTCCTGTGGCGTTCTGGGTTCAGTCAGTTTGTGCTTACTGAGGCAGAAAGAGGCTGACACACAGTTAGCAATAAATCCCAGCAAGTGTTCCCTTTATTCCAGGACCTGGAAGAACCTACCAAGCTCCTTTTTCAGCAGGTTCTGACATGCTTTTATGAATCATTTAATGGACGGCTCTCCTGAAACCCATCCCAAGGAAGATCATGTTCTAGATTCCTTTTTCTCAAATTGTTGTGATTGTTAAGTGGTATGGAGTTGGTTCCAAATCATGGAGACCCTGTATAGGATTTCCAAGGAGCGGCTGGTGAGTTTGAATTACTGATCTTACAGTTAATTATCAGTCCTTTGCTTATCCTACAGCACCATACCAGGGCTCCTTTCTCAAATTAGTCCCCAAATAAAAAAAGACACATAATGGAGAACATGAAGCAATAAGTCACTTTAGTAGTCTGCCCTCAATTTCACAACAGCCACTGGGAAATTTATACTTCAAAAGCCTACTCTCTTCTCTCTGTCGCTCAGTGCAATTTCAATCCATTATGTCTTGCTCCATTCTGAGTAGGATCCTAGGAGTGCAGTCCTGGAAAGGATGTTCACACACTTCATCAGACACAGCTGGAATGAGTTTCCATTTGCTGGCTTGCTTTTCATAGGTCTTTCTTGCAATTCATCACTCTGCCTCAGGAAATTTTTTTCTTCATCTACTGCCTAACCTGGAGGTTGAAGATGTCTACTGGGGGCACTTAACTTTTAAATTAAGAAGTTAAGGGGGCCTTAACTTTTAAATTCACTTCTGGTTCTCTTCAGAAGGATGACCCATCCTGTTGGCCTCTGATGGCCCACTGACCACTCACCTTCAGTTGGTCCTGCTGCCTCGTATGGGCCATGAGAAGTTCTTCAGCAGGCTGCATGCCTCTGGGCAGCTCTGTCTCAGAAAGGCAGACCCCAAACATCTGGAGCATATGGGCAGTGGTCTTTACTGTCAAGGCAAAGTTTTCGATGGCCTAGAAAGTCAGACAATCACAACAATGTGGAGAGGTTAGCATTGACGAATATGTCCTCTCAATTCAGCAGTAGAACTAGTTATCTCAATAGAAAACCAGTGGATATCTCAACAACGTAAACCCTCAATGAGGTGGACTGATACCCTAACCATAACAATGGCTTCAAACACCAATGACCATAAAGGTGGTACAGGACTGATAAAAGTTTTGTTTTGTTATATGTAAGGTCACCGTGAGTCAGAGCCATCTGGTGTGGTGCTGTAGCATAAGCACTGGACTGCTAACCACAAGTCAGTGGTTCACACCTACCAGCCGCTCCTCAGAAACCCTACACAGGATCGCTATGTGTCAGAACCAACTCAATAACACTTGACAACAAGAATAACATCAACAACTAACAACACAGACCTAGAGCTGCTATTTCCTGAGTGCAGTGTGCCACACACTGTACTTAGTGATATATATTTGTCTCTCAGCTCAATAATCCCATGTGGCAGAGATTTCATTCCCATTTTATACATGGAGGAGCTAAAGCTCCAACAGGTTAAGTGAATTCCACAGGATCGTATTTCTAGAAAGGGAGGAAGGTGGGGCTCAACTGAGGTTAGTGACTATACACATTAGGGATTCCATTTAGTAGCATTAAAAACACTCAAGTATGACTAGATACACACCAGGTAAAATGCTAAAAAAGGGCATAACCACCCAACCTTCCCTCTAGCAAACTCTTTTCTTCTCTTCTAACTCCCTTAAGCTCCCTCAGTACCCAGACATCCTGACACCTCTGAAAAGCCTGCCAAGTGCTGCTAAGAGGAAAGATAATTGAGGAAAAAGGAACATAGTGATTTGGTCACTAGTAACCTTTCAGAAAGTCATTTCTTTCTGATGTGGGGAGAGGCCCTACCTTTCACTCCCCCTTTATAAAAATTTGCCTGTCCTATGTTCCTGGTGTGGTGCTGTGGGCTAATGCGTCAGACTGCAAAGTTGTTTGAACTGCAAGGTCAGTGGTTCAAGTTCACCAGCTGCTCCTTGGAAACCCTATACAGGGTCGTCATGGGTCGGAATCGACTCGATGGCACGTCACAACAAGAATGTTCCTAGTGGAGTGCAGTGTTTCTGTGGGATAATCACTAGACTTCGAGCTATAGGGTCAGAGGGTCAAGCCCAACAGCTGCTCCTTGGGAGAAAGATGAGGTTTTCTGTTCCCTCAAAGAATTACAGTCTTGGAAACCCTACAGTGTTGCTATGAGCTGGACCCGACTCTATGGCATTTTACAACAACAAATATTCCTAATGACTTCACAGCTAACATTCCAAGCGAGAAATCTGCATGTTAGCACAGTGTTTAGGAGATACACTGCCTAGCTTAGACAAAATGATACTATCCGAGGAGTTATTTGAAGATAGGTGTTCTGTCAGAAACCAACAAACCATGCCACTCAGCCAGACTGGCACTACCATGCACAATTTTCCTGTTCCCGAGACAGTTTTGGCCTAAATAACAAGCACCTTCATCTCTGCATGCCCAGGGCATGAGACTGTGCCTGTGATCCAATTTATGGACAATAAAGGATTACTCAATAAAGTCCTGGTGTGGTGCTGTAGAATAAGCACTGGACTGATAACTGCAAGGTCAGTGGTTCAAATCAATCAATCACTCCTTAGAAACAGTACATAGGGATTTCTGTGAGTTGAAACCAGCTAGACAGCATTTAACAACAACTATGGATAAATGGTAGGAGCAGAGAATTCCAGCCTAATTTTCACCAGGGGGAAAATGATCTTTATTCCTTTATCACTAAAAAGCACTTCTGAGGGGGTACAAACAAGATGGCGGATCAGGTGGTCGTATAGCAGAGAGCTCCGCCAACAACAACACAGAATACCCGA